CCCTGTTTGGGTGGCTAGTCCACCCTTTCATTGAGGGTCCTGATTTTAGGTAGGAGCTCAGCTCTGTCTTCTTGCCCCCTTTGGGGTGAATGCCAGGTCTCCTGTATCTGTTTGGCTGTTAAGTCCAAGTCCCCATCAGTGCTGTCCAGTAGAACTCGCCACGGTGACGGGCTTGTCCTCCGTCTGCTGTCCCGTACAGCAGCCACGAGTCACACGGGGCTTTTGAACACTTGAAATGTGGTTAGTGAGACTCAGGACCTGGATTTTAAATTTTAATTTATTTCAAATAATATTAAATTTAGATAGCTGCTGGTGGATAGTCCCCACCGTATTAAACAGCATTCCTCACTGAGACAAGTCTGCCTCATCTGAAGGGCCTCACAGCGTCCTTTGCTCCACTCATCATTTTTGTTTTCAGTCTCCTCTTCATTTATGGCCCCAGGAATTTATCTTACTCTCTTTACTGTGCATTTAAAAGGATGTTAAATTTTATCTAGTGTTTCTTGTATGCTAGGGAGGTTGTATATTATTTGTTCACAATATTGCCAGAAGTGGAACATAGTGTCTGCTTCTGTTTTCTTTCCTCTCCAATCCATAGCTCTACTACAAAGTGATTTTTCTAAAATGCAAATCTATTCATGTAATATTTCTGCTTTCGAGAGTTCCCTGTTCTCTCAGAATGCAGCCCTAGCTCAGCCTGGCACATGAGGTCCTCTGTAACTTAGCCCCTGCCTATTTCCTCAGCCTTATCTTTCATTGCGTCTTCTCCTTGTACTTCATATTTAAGCACTGCTAAATATTTATAATTCCTTAAACGCTATTTCATACCTTAGGTCCTTTGTTCATCTTGCTCCTTCTACCCTAGCATGTTCTCCTGACTCGACTCCACCTCCTTTCTGCTAACCAACGTCGGCTTATCTTTCTCAACAGCACTCACGTCGCCTCTTCTCTGAAGGCTTCACTGCCTCTAATTTGTACCTCTTCTGGACCATGTATAGAATTTGGTCATAACCTTCATAGCACTTTATTGTGCTTTACTGTTTACGTGTCTGTCTCCCTCCCAGTCTGGACTCCTAGGAAAGGACTTGCTGCTTTTCAGGAAGCCCACACCTAGCGCAGGGACTGACACATGGAGGCACTGATGCTGGGACTTCTCCTTTATCCGGGAGGGTAGCAGCATCACCAGGAGACATCCACGGAGCGGCTCAGGGCACAGCCTGGCTCCAGGCATCAGGGGCCTCTGAGGCGGGGGACATGGAGTGTCTGTCTCCCGAGAGCTCTCACGTAGTTCTGAGGCTTCGAGTTCCTAATAAGCCGAAGCTTCACAGGCCCACCCTGCTCAGTCACAGCTCCCACCAGCTTCCCTTTCATTTTCTGAGAGTCAGTATGGGGACTGTGTGACTGAGGACCGGAGGGCCCTGCTTGTGTCTTTTCATAGGGGTCACCTGTGAGGCTCCACAACAACCCGCCCCCACCCCATGCCTCCTGAGAGTTCCCTTTGGACCCGGTCTTTATTCTTGCTGTGCAGGTGAAAGAGGCCAGTAATAGGAAACAGAGAATGGATCAGTAAAGAATGGGGCCAATGGTCCAGTACTAGGTAGGGCTGGCCCTGCCTCCCTGAACTTTCCTTTGCTTCTGAGCTGACCAGGGACATCTCTCCCTTCCTCCAAGTCCATCTGCTCTGCTCCAGGAAGGCAATGAGACATTAGCCTTTCTGTTCCAGGAGGACAAGAATATTAGGTCCCCAGGTGAGTCTTATCCAGAGCCCAGCATTTAATAGGTGCATAGGGAAATATTTTTTGGATTGAAATCTGCTTAGTTTATCCTCGTCTACCAGGATGCCTATGAGCTGCTGCCATCCTAGGTTTGTGAGAAGGAGAGTGGTAGGCAGGTGAGAGCCCTGGGCTGAGAGTCGGAAGCCTAGATCTACCCCTAACTCTGCCCTTAATTAGCTGTGTGACTTGGAGTAAGTTGCTTTACCTCTCTGTCTCTCAGTTTCCAGGCATTGTATGTAAGATATCTAGCATAGACCCTAGGTGCTCTTGAGTGCTCAGTGACTGTCTTCCCTTTTCTAGATCCTTGTGGGATATTTGTACTCATCTATGAGAAAGTCTTTTTGCCTTCCTTCTTCTCATTCTTGTCGCATCTTTGTCAAGCCCTTTCTAGGCTGAAACAAAGGCTGTGTGTGTGTGTGTACACAGGAGATTAGAAAAAAACCAGTGCAAAGAAGAGATCCCTCCAATACTCAGACCACCGACTTATTCCATTGTGCACCCTGATTTATCATCTTTATTATCTGAGTCTTTTGATTCAGGGTCTCAGACCTGAAAGAAATTGGGCTAAAGGATCTTATACAGAAATGTCAATCTGACCAGTTGACAGCACATTTCCCAGAAATACAAAGGGTAGCCTCAAAGGGCTGTTACAATCCCAGTTACCAGGGAGGAAGCCTGTCCTCACAGGGCCACCTGTGGGAGGAGGCCTGACAGGTGAGGGCAGGAGGAGAGTGTGCCAGTGGGCCGGGGTAGTGCAGCCTGGGGCTGGGGAGTGGGCGTGGTTCCTCAGTGTTCTCTCAGGAGCCCAGTTCTTTGCCTTCATCGGTTGCTTCTGCTTCTACTGCTTCATTCACTTCAGCAGAAGTTTTGGGCCAGCTTTCAGGTTAGCTGTTGGCTGGTGTTTTCCCTGGGGGAGAGCTGGGAGATTGGCTATAATCACTCCTATTAGCAGTTGGCAGCTCCCCAATCCGTTTTTCAACCTGGACTGGCTCAGCCCTAACATCTGCCAGACCTGCTGTGACGCTCACTTGTGAGTGCAGGCTGCGTCTGCGCCCCGTGCGGGTGGCCTTGGCACCAGCTGGCATAGCCGGGTCTCTCACACCGTGGAGCCTGTGAAGGCTGGCTCAGCTCCAAGAACCATCGCTCCTAACAGGAGCGGCTTTGCTCCCTGCACTTCCTGAAGTGCAGAGCTGGTGGGGAGCAGAACTCGGAAGGTGCCCTCAGGAAGGAATCCATCCCAGAAAACAGTCAGTAGCGGCCTGGGCTATGAGTAAGTGTTCTCAGGGAAGTTAAGATGTGAGCTCAGCGGGATCGTGAGCATGACACCAGCTGCCTTTAACTTCCACGCACTGGGCTAAACTCTTTGAACCCATGACCTCTCTTAATACAACAGCCCATTAAAGAGGACTTGTTGGATAATCTGAGGCTCAAGAGGTGAAAGAGCCAGTCCAAGATCACACAAACGAAGTGGCAGAGCTGAGGCCACCGAGCCCAGAGCTCAAGCTTTCACCACCACACCTGCTCTGCCTTGCATGACGATTGACAGAGAACTTCTCAAAGGTGGTGTGCCAGGGGCAGGTGAAAATAGTGCAGGCTGTGAGTTCCAAATCCCACATCTACCACGGATTAGGCAGATTGACCTCCCAGAGATTGGAGAAGGCAGGTTTAGCTCAACCTGATTCTTATTCAAGAGGTAGGTGTAGGGGCAAGGCCTGGGCAACCACGCGCTGTGGTCCCTGCCCCCTGCCCGGTGCTGCGTGCTGTCGCCTAGAAAGGGGAACCCCAGGGAGAGCAGCTTTAACAGAGTGAAGTCATGGCAGGGAACTTGCAGCCTGAAGGATGCGAAGAAAGAGGAAGGGTCTGGCAGCTTCCCGCCTCACTGGGGTGCGCTGGGATGTCTGCATTATACACAGTCCTCGACTGCTCCCTCATCTTTCTCCCCAGCCCTCTAAAGGAGTAACTCCAGCTGCTGCCTTCCTGAGTTGCTACGTGATATCCGGGCCCAGTCACGGACTAAGTCCATGGGGCGAGTCAGAGTGAGTTCTGATGTAGATGCAGGGCGCCGTGCCTTCCGGCCCGCTGCCGGTTGTAACATTCACCATTACCCTCTCTGAGCCTTTTTTTTTTTTTAAAGATTGGCACTTGAGCTAACATCTCTTGCCAATCTTCTTTCTTTCTTCTTCTCCTTCTTCTCCCCAAAGGCCCCCAGTACATAGTTGTATATTCTAGTTGTAGATCCTTCCAGTTGTGCCATGTGGGACGCCGCCTCAGCATGGCCTAATGAGCGGTGCCATGTCTGTGCGGAGGATCCGAACTGGCAAAACCCTGGGCCGCCCAAGTGGAGCGTGGGAACCTAACCACTCGGCAACCGGGCCAGCCCCCTGAGCCTTTGTTTTTACCAAGGTGCCCCTACCTCTAAATGTAACTTTATTTTCTTCTCTGCTATATACATCTTTCTAGAATTTCCAGTTCTCGCTTAAAAAACGTCTTGGAGAATGCCAGAGCCCCACTTGGCTGGGGCCACATAAATGGTTCTTTCACCTGTCCTCTTCCCAAACAGTTACATTCAGAGATCAAACAAGATGGACTTCACTGGAAGTTGGGACCTCCCAGAGGGTGGGTCACTGAACCCGGCGAGGGCCATGAAAATGTGAGAATACATGTCTGGGGCTGCTGTTTCTGGTCCTTTTATCAGTATGGCCTGACTCCTCCAACTGGTTTTTAAATGTCTTGAGGAGAGGCAGGATGGCCCAGGAGAAAGGGCACTGGACAGAGTGTAGAGGCCAGAGCTGCCCAGCTGCCTGCGGAAGAAGCTGTGCTGACCAGGAGCAGAGGCCTGAACCTGTCCCTGAGCCTGGTGCTCGCAGGCAGGTCTACACTGAGACCAAGGCCATCCGGTCACTAACGCTCCGCGTTCAGCCAGCGGGACCTCGGAGCGGCTTCTCTAGGAATCCCGTGCTCTGTTTAGGTCCCGCCGGCCCCGGCGCCGCCGCCCCCAACCCCCACCCCGCTGCCCACCGGCTTCTGACCACTACCTCCTTCTCCCCTTTCATCCTCCAGGCCCACAGGACTCCCCACCCCAACTCTCCTGCCTCAGCATCCCCCATCCTTTTTCTTCCTGCTGATCCAGCGAGCCGGGCTTTCTCCTTCTCTGGTCTCTCCTCCTCTCCCCCTTGAATCCAGTCCTGGTTTCCCCGCCGCCAGCCTCTCTTTCCTCTCCGCCCGGGCTCGCTCCCCGCCCCCTCCGCGCCCGCCGTCATCGCGGTGGGTTCAGCCCCTCACCTAGCCCGCTCGCAGCCACCCGGGGCTTAGCTCGCCCAGTCCGGTGGCTCCAGTCCGGATCTCGCTGCTGCCGACCCGGGTAGGAGTTCCAGCTGCCGGGGAGGCGGCGGCGGCTGGCCCGGCTCCCCTCGGCCGCCTCGCCAGCCTGCAGTTGGCCGGGAGGGAGCAGCTGGGTAGCCCCCCGGAGCCCCTCGGAGGACAATGCACCCAGCGCTCGGCAACCCCCGCTCGGTCTCGACCTCGTCCGGCTCCTTCCCCCAGCCCCCCGCCGCCGCCCGGCTGCAGCCCCTCTTCCTCCGGGGGGCGTCCTCCCGCGGCCGGAGAGGTTCGGCCGACAGCAGCACCAGCACCAGCACCAGCCGGGGGGGAGGCGGCGGCAGACGCGGCGGGGGCGGCGGCGGCGGCTCCCCCAGCAGCAGCACCGGCGCGGAGCGAGAGGACGACGACGAGAGCATCAGCATCAGCAAGCCGCTGGTGCCGGCTGCCGCCTCCGGGCTCCAGGGGCCCCCGGCTCAGGGGGGCGCCCCAGCCGCCAACCCAGCGCCCGCCGCTTTCTCCTCCTCGGTCGCCACCTCCTCCTCCAGCTCCACGCCCACCTCCTCCTGCAGCATGACAGCCGCGGACTTTGGCGGGGGCGCTGCGGTCGGGGCCGTCGGGGGCTCCGGGGGCCGCTCGGCTGGGGGCGCGGGCGGCCCCGGGACCGGCAGCGGCACCTCCTGCTGTTCGTGTTGCTGCTGCTGTGGCCGCCCAGCCCGCCCGGGCCGCAGGGGTCGGCGCCGCGGCTGCGCCCCCAGCCCGGGGTGCCGCTGGGGCTACCAGGCGCTGTCCGTGGTGCTGCTGCTGGCGCAGGGCGGTCTGCTGGACCTGTACCTCATCGCCGTCACCGACCTGTACTGGTGCTCCTGGATCGCCACCGACCTGGTGGTGGTGGTGGGCTGGGCCATCTTCTTCGCCAAGAACAGCCGGGGCCGTCGGGGCGGCGCGGCGAGCGGCGCGCACAACCACCACCAGCACCACCACCACGCCGCGCCCACGCTGCACCTGCCCGCCCCATCGGCAGCCTCCGCCGGGGCTGCGGCCGGGGCCAAGGCACGCGGCGGCCGCGGGGGCGCGGGCGGCCCGGGGGGCGGCCCGGGGACTGCTGGGGCGGCGGGCGAGTTCGCCTTCGCTTACCTGGCCTGGCTCATCTACTCCATCGCCTTCACGCCCAAGGTGGTGCTCATCCTGGGCACGTCCATTCTGGACCTCATCGAGCTGCGCGCGCCCTTCGGCACCATGGGCTTCCGTCTCACCATGGCGCTATCCGTGCCCCTGCTCTACAGCCTGGTGCGGGCCATCAGCGAGGCGGGCGCCCCGCCTGGCTCGGCGGGACCTCTGCTCCTGCAGCCCCAGCAGCACCGCGCCGCCGGCTGCTTCCTGGGCACGTGTCTGGACCTGCTCGACAGCTTCACCCTGGTGGAGCTGATGCTGGAGGGCCGCGTGCCACTACCCGCGCACCTGCGCTACCTGCTCATCGCTGTGTACTTTCTCACCCTCGCCTCGCCGGTGCTCTGGCTCTACGAGCTCAACGCCGCCGCGGCAGCTTCGTCCTGGGGCCAGGCCTCGGGTCCAGGTAGCTGCAGCCGCCTTCTGCGCCTGCTGGGCGGCTGCCTAGTAGACGTGCCCTTGCTGGCGCTGCGCTGCCTCCTGGTGGTGAGCTACCAGCAGCCCCTCTCCATCTTCATGCTCAAGAACCTCTTCTTCCTTGGCTGCCGCGGCCTGGAGGCCCTGGAGGGCTGTTGGGACCGGGGGAGTCGGGCCTCCCCCAGTCGGGCCAGAGGGGGCTACGGCGGTCCGCCCTCTGCCCCGCCGCCACCGCTGCCACCTCAGGGAGGCTCCCAGCTCGGCCACTGCATCTCGGAGAACGAGGGGGGTGCCCATGGCTATGTCAACACCCTGGCTGTGGCCTCCCAGAATTGAGGGAGATAAGGGAAGGGGGCTTGATTTGGGGTTGAGAGACCCCAGCTCCCTTGTCCTCTGACCTTTCTCTCACCCAGATTTGATCAGGCTGTGTTTGGGAGAGGTAACTGTTAATAGGGCTAAGGGCCAGTGTGTCCTTCTGCACCTCTTGAGTCAAGACTGCTTGGAGGGAGACCAAGTAGCTAATGGTGAGGGAGGAAAGTCCACGTCCCCTCGTATCCCTTCTCCATGCCCTACTCTGACTCGCCTCCAAAGGCCTGGGTACCTCTTCTTCTTGTGTTTCCCGCCTCCATGCAAATTCCTATCCAGTGTAGGTGACAATGGAAGGAAGGGGGTGCCCAGGCAGGCGGTCAGGGGCCTTGGGCCCTCCCCCTTGCTTGGAAGTACCAGCTTTTAGGCTCTGGTAAGTGGTCGTTGTCCCAACACTTTGAAATTGACCCAGAATGCTCGGTTACCCTGATGTGTCTATTGGATTCCTTCCAGGTGGTGGATGCAAAGTCTACGTGTGTGTGTTGTTGTTGTTTTCTGTGTCCACCCTGTGGCCCGTTGCAATCAGTAGGAGATCTGGGGGTGCCCTGCCCACCGCACAGACCACCACCCTCCTTGTTCCTACCTGAATTTGTGGCCATGAATTCCCAGAAGGAGCTGGGCTTCTGGGAGCTGCCCAGTTGTTCTCCTGCAAGGGAGAAGCTCACCTAGAATCTTCCTCAATCCCACTCCTCTCTTCCCAGCTTATGGGAAGGAGAGGATTCGTACTCTAGGGACCAAACTGCACCCTTTTTTGGGTGAGTGAGCATTTCTACCTCCGTGCTTTCAACTTTTGTTGCATCATGCACTGATGCTGCTTGCAAAAATAAAGACAAAATACTCAGAAATTGCATTCAACATGGCTGCTAGATGCAGCTGGGGCTTGGTGCCAGTGTTATTACAGGGTCTGTGGAGTATTAGCCATTGGCTTGCCCTCCCTTTGTCCCTTCCTCTGCACCTGGATCTCTCATCCTTCCTGAAGTTTGTTGCTGGCTGGGTCAGATCTTGGCTCAGAACAACAGCTTTGGTGGGGTTCCTGGATGGATGTGAAGGTGGGCCTCCTGTGGGCCCAAGGGAGTAGGAAACCCAACTGCCCATCTGTCCTTCCTCTAGGAAGCTTGGTGTAGATCAGAAGGGGTAGTGGTGACCTTTCTCCTCTGCCCTGGTTAAGAGAATCTCTAGGGAAAGGCAGGCTGCATGGATTAGGGTGGCTAACTCCCCTCCCCCAGCCTTCCTCCCTGGTATTCCTGTTGCTGAGCTTGATGACAAGGGACATCCAGGCATTGCCCACTTACAGTCTTGATGTGGGACATCACTTTTGGAATATTTAAGGCAGGATAATTATGTTTAGGGGAGGGAAGAGTGCAGGAAGACAGCTGGCAGCAGGAAATCCTGCCTTTTCTTCACCCTGCCATAGGCTGCCGGGGTGGGGAGGGAATTGTAAGAAGTTTTGTTTCCCTTCTCTCTTCCCATGCTCGGGCAGTTGTGTGTGGTGTAATAAGCTTGGACAAAGGCCCAGATGTCATGGGCACTGTTGCTCACTAGCTTTGAGTGACACATTACGCTTGCTTTCTGGGCCGCGGGTCTCGCTTGGGGCCCCTCTCTCCCAGGTTCTCTGGGGGCTTGTTGACAGAAGTTGTCCATGTAGACAGAGACATAAGAGGGGCTGATGGCTTGACCAGAGTTCTCTGGAGCCTCCCACTACTCTCAGAGTGGGGAACAATGGGGGGAAAATGTTCACACTCAAAGCACAATTTGTGCTCTCAGCCCCTCATCCTCCTAGGTCCAGTAATTAGCTGGTTGGATTTCACAGCTAACTGGGTTTTTTCTGCCTTCTCTCCTTCTCTCTCCTGACTCCTCTTCTCTCCCTTTGAACTCCATGTGCTCAAAGTTCCGGGGCCCAGGCCTTGGGTGGGTCCCACTAGCTCCTCCCTCTGTTCCCACACCCTCTCTCCAGCTTTGCTGTTTCTCTGCTACCTAATCTCAGTGACTGTGAAGGACTTTATGTCTGAGCCATGGCCAGCACGTGGCTGGCCCCCGTCCACGTCCTCGCTACTGTTAGGATGGCGGTCTCCCTGCTGAGTGACTGTGAAAGCTCTGAGTACTGTTGGGTTTCTGCTGGGAGGCTGTGATAGGTTCTAGTGAGCTGCCACTTCCCTAGGTAAGTTGAGAGACTGATGGCCACCAGGCTAATTCTGGCGGAGGCCAGGCCTGTTCAGGCCCTGTCTTCTGGCCCTCAAATCACCCCTGGACATCCTCTTTCAAACATTTGGTGCCAGTAATTTGTGCTCAGGGAGTCAGTCCCTTCCTTCTGGTGTGTTTTTCTTGAGTCCTTTTACTTACTTCCCTTGGCCTGTTCACAAGAAACGTCCCCTAAAGCTTCACTTTCCTTGCTTTTTAGGGGCACCTGTAGTGCAGGGGTCAATCTGGAGATGTCCCTGTGGGTCTAATACCTGCACATACGCTGTTTCCTGAGGCTCATGCCTGCAGCACCATTCACAGAAAAGAACCCTGGGCTCAGCATCCAGACTGCCTGCCCCTGACATGTGTGCAAGCAAGACGTGTCCTCGATCTGAGCCTCTGGCTCCTTACCTGTTCTGGAAAGGGGTTGGACTAGGCCTTAGCTAAAGACCGTTAGGATCAAACGCCCTGGTTCTGATTCCATGTGCTTCTGCGGGAGAGAGTGGGCTGACAGTTAGAACCTGGAGGAGGGGAAGTGGCACCTCACTGGCATTTATCACGTTTCCCCCCGCCCCTTCTCTTTTTAAAAATAAAACCAGACTCTGTTCTGAAAATAAAAGACTTGAGACTTGTGACAAGCTTCCTGTGTGGTTTGTTTTAAGATCTTTCCTGTCCTGGTTTCCGTACTAAATTCTTAAATGTCGCTGTGCCATTCGTCATCATTTTATAGGTGTGTGTTAACAGTATGGGTACACCTTGGCTGTCTCCCTTCTAGGCAGCCAGCATCCTCCTCAGGATGCAGTGTGGCAGTGGCCTCGGCCCGCGGGTGTCCACGCAGGCTCTCTGCAGGCAGAGCTGACGCAGATGGGTGCCTAGCCTGAGCATGCTTTCCTCAGCCACCCAAGGCTTTTACTCCCATTTCTTTCAAGAATAACTTACCAAAGAGGGAGAGACTGAGAAACTGCTTTTTGAATCCTACTCTGCCCTCCTCTGTTACTCTCGCTCCAGTCAGAAGCCTGAATTCTTACATATGAATGAGAGAACAAGGCCATGGTTTTCGGTTTTTTGGTTCTTTTTTTTTAAAACACAAAGAGGACTGTGAAGTCTAAAACAGAATATTGAGTCGGCACACAAACAAAATTATTGTATATATATATTTTTAGCACAAACAGCCCACACTATTCAAGCCACTCTGAGTTGTTGCCCAACAATGGTTCTGGCCATTGCAAGGGTCACACAGTGCTTTGACCCCGTAGGGCGAGAAGGACAAAATCAGAGCCTGGGGAGAGCATGCTCTGCTTCCTCCTAGCTGTGGCTTTGGGCACTCACCCAAGCTCCTGGAACATATTCATTACTTATAAGACAGGAGCCATGCTACCTACCTCACAAGGTGAGGTGAGAATTAAATGAGTGACATATGCAAAAAGGGTCCTTTTCCTCAAGATGTTTATAATCACAACGGGACAAAATTTACACATAAAATAATTACAGAACAGCGTCAGACCATGTCTTCAATTCTTCGTAAATCTAGCTGCAAAATAAGATGATTAATTTCACTAAACATGCTATAAATATTTATGCATTTCTCACAGTGACGCCAGTGAGCTCTCAGTGATCTGGGTCAGGCGGCGCGCGTGCGAAGGCACTTTGGGAACCGCGGGTGAAGGACAGCAGGAGACATCCCTTTGTGAAAGGGCAAGGCGGGCCACCCTCGGGCCCCACCACAGGGTTGAGTGTGACCGTGCAGTTCTGGCCCAAGGGAAGGACACAGAAATATGTCCTGTGCTTGGCTGTATCAGGCCCTTGGTGCATGTTTGCTCATTTCATCCTCACAGCCACCTCCAAGGTAGGTTTATCTCCATTGCCTGAGGTCCTGAAAGATGGAGTGGCTTGCTGAATGCCACCCTGCAGTCAGGAAGGGAATCCAGATTTCAACCCAGGTCTGGCTGCCTCCAAAATCCACACTGCCCCAGGCAGCCTTCAGACTTTAGCTGTTAAGTGGGTTCAACTTGCCCTTCGTCAATGCTGCACGGCTCTGGCTAAAAAGCAGGGGCTGAATTTCATGTTCTGGGTGAGTCTGATGGACGAAGCACGGAGCGAAAGTCAGGGTGCAGGTAAAAAGTAGGGGCCAGCCAGTCATGCCTCCCCCTCTGCTTTCTGCTCCCTCTCCTCAGGCCACTTGCATCTTCTTCCTCTCTAATCAGAAAGGAAGGATCCAGCACACTAATTCATACTAAGGTGTTACGAACCTAAGGGGCTCCTCCTCCCAGGAAGGCAATATAGGCACCAGCGTGGGGGAAGGCATGTTGGACAAGACTTCTTGGCATCCTTCAAATCACGAGAGACGGGACTGCATGTTCCTCTTACAGGCAATGCTGGCTCAACAGGGTGCCCCACCTGCCTTAACCAACCTAAATGGACAGGACGAGAGTGCGGACCCAGTGCCAAGATATGGGAGAGGCAGTAGGGCATGGAGAGCCGAGGAGAGACTGAAAGAAAGGTGATGCACCTGGAAGCCATTTAGGAGTGATGTGGGAGGCCGTGGGTGGGAAGCAGACATCTGGTGAGAGCCCATCCTGGCAAAAAGCAATGTGGCGCCCCAACTTCACAGCCTACACGCATGGGTTGGGGGGGCAGTTGCTTTGTTTTATGTTCTTCCACAACGTATAATCTATAGCATCTCTATTGTTTCCATTTTCCCACAATGAGCATATTCGCTCAGCCCACACACTTGTTGAGCTCCAATATATGCCAAGCGCTGGGTCACACATTACTTTTATAATCTGAGAAAGCAAACACTTGAGGAAGAAAGTGACAGCAATAGGAACAGAGGCTAGATGAACAGTGCCCCAGGCACGTAAGCTGCTCTGATCCAGAACCAGGGCGGAAAGCTTCTCCTCCTTAAGAGGCAAAGAGACCTAAGGAAGCCTCTGGACTCCTGGCAAAGGCAGCAGTGTGGCAGTGCGGTGACACCTGGACTGAATGACGGCTGCCCCACAGTGAGTGCTTTTGGAAGCAGGACACTCCCCGAGGGCTCCCACGTCTGTCTCACCCACTCCTCGCAAGGCCCCTCTGAGGTAGGAACTCCTGCTGCACACATTTTAGAGATGGGCAACCTGAGAGCTAAGGAAGACAACTTAAGTTGCTTGACTGAGAAGCAGCAGAGGCAGGGTTCCAGCTCTGTGGTAACGGTTTCCAGCCTCTTTTCAAGGAACCTCCCTCTCCAGCACACTTGGCCTGAGACCCAGGCCGGGGCTGGAGTGGCAGCTCTGTGTCTCACTCCAAGTGCAAGTGTGCCTGCGTCCTTTCTTGCCCAATCTGGAGCAGAACAGGGCCTGGCACTCCCCTCTCTATTTGGGATGGGAGAACCCCGAGCGCAGAGGCTAAAGGCCACAGGGTTGAAAGCACCCCCTGCACTGCAAGTGCCACTTGTCTTTGAGCCTGTTAAATGTCAGAGGTAAGCAGGAAATAAGTAACATCCTCCACAGCCTGGCATTCAGAGACCCCAGCTCAGACTGCTGAGTGGGTGTTCAAGGGAGTGAATAAAACCCATTCAAAACCTAAACGCCTCTGAGGACCTTCCTCAGTAGGAAAGAGAAACTGGTTTAGAAGCAAAGTTGTCAGTAGCACTGTATCAAGCAATGTCCAGATCTCCTCATTGCTCCTTTGTCTCCTCACTAGGACCAAGACAGCAGGCAGGAGAAAGCCACGGAAGCCATGCAGGGGGCAAAGGCGCACATGTGGGAGCACACAGGACTGTGCTGGACACTAGTCATGGGCAGCTGCTCCACTGCAGGTTCTGGTCACATGCTGACTGCGGGTCCTTCTGCCCACCTCGAGCCACCTCTGCTGCACCCTACTTAGGAGAAGGGCCCAAGAGGTGGGAAGGTCACAGCTCAGAGGACATCTGTTCTCAGAGGGGCTCTTCTGGGGGAAGCTGGATTCTACTGGCCATGGTTCAGAGTAACACACAAAGAGAGGCATGGCTTTATTTACACACTCTTGAAGCTCTTGGCATTTGGCTGACCAGACGGAATTTCTAGTACTTATGCGGAGCTAAGACCAGCGTGACATTGGGAGTTCCAGGGAAGGAGTAGGGGGGGAATGTGGGAGGAACAAGGGAATGACATTAAAAAAAGGGTCAAAAAGTCCTGGAGAACTTTATGGTTCCATTTATATATGACGTGTCCACAACAGACAAATCCATAGAAGGAAAGCAGACTGGTGGTCGCCTAGGGACAGGGAGGTGAGGAGGTTGGGAGTAATGATTAAGGGGTGCTGGGTTTCTTTTTTGGGTAAGAAAAATGTTCTCCAGATGAGTGATGTCAGCAACATGGCAGCATGAGCTCAACCGGGACTCTTCCCCTCCAAATTACAACCAAAAAGAGCAACTGCTTTCCAACCAAAAAAAAATCCTAATAAATCATTGGCAACCCACAGCAGCCAGGCGACAGAGGGCGGAGAGGCTGGAGCTGCCCTTGGAGGAGCTGGAACGGTGTAAGACAGAACTTTTCTCCCTCCCCTAGAGGCTGGGATCCTGTGGGGTGGGGGGAGGAATGGGGGAGTGGCAGCACATCCTGGGACCATCCAGGACTCCCACAGCAGTGGAAACCCTCTAACGGGGGAAAGCTTTTGTGTGGGGGGACTGCATCAAGCCAGGGCCCCGGGAAACCAGAGAGCGAGTGCAGATCGCAATCCAGGTCTGTGCCCGAGAGAAAGTGCCCCTCCTCCTCTAACCTCTGCTGCGCTCCGCCATCTTGGCTGAAGGCGCAGGGCTCAGAATGCGGCTCTCAACCCCCATCTAGTGGCGACAGGCTGTAACTGCAACCAATAATAGCATCATGCGCAAAAACCACTCCTCTACGACCCAGCAATTTATAAAAGCCCCAGACCAGAAGGAAAACAATAAAAACACAGAAGAATGTCCTGAGGACTTGGAAATAAGTAAACTAAGTGAAGATGAGGTCAAAATTGCTATCATCAAAATACTCAATGAGGTAAAGGGAAATATGGAGAAACAACTCAATGAGTTCTGGAGTTACTTCACAAAAGAGATTGAAACTATAAAGAATCAATCAGAAATACTAGAGATGAAAAATACAATGGATCAGATAAAACAGAATATGGATTCCCTGAATGCCCGTGTAGACACCACAGAGGAGCAAATGAGCATAATCGAAGATAGACAGGCCGAATGGCTCCAGACAGAGGAAGAAAGAAAACTAAGGATTAAAATAACTGAAGAAAATCTCCGAGAAATAGCTGACTCAATGAGAAAATGAAACTTAAGAATAATTGGAAGTCCTGAGGGTGTGGAAAAAGAAAATGGAGCAGAAAGTGTGCTCAACGAAATAATAGAAGAGAACTTCCCAAATCTAGGGATTGAGAGAGAAATGTGTGTGGAGGAAGCTTTCAGATCTCCTAGATTTGTCAATGTAAAAAGACCTACTGCAAGACACATAGTAGTAAAAATGGCAAAAATGAATGACAAAGAAAGAATACTCAGGGCAGCAAGGCAGAAGAAAATAACCTACAAAGGAACCCCTATCAGACTTTCAGTGGATTTCTCTACAGAAACCTTACAAGCTAGGAGAGATTGGAATGCCATATTCAAAATTTTAAAGGATAAAAAT